AACGTTGATTACTCCATTTATATTGTGAAAATGACCACATCATTGGTCCAGTTATGGATTAATTATTTGTGATCAATATTTATTCAGTCTGTCTTTTGGATGAGACACTATGCTCTAAGCACTTGGCATTACAAAGATGAATTAGACACAAGGAACTTTGCAGACAGCAACGAAGTTGAAAATAAATCAGAGGAAGGATTAATGTAGCTAATAGCAGAAGAGAAGTACCAAAAAACCTGTCAAAGAGTCCAGAGAAAGGCTGAGATATTTCAAATCTGTGGGGGTTAGGAGTGGCGGGCAGGGGAGGAACACAATGCTGAAGGTGATGTAAAAAATCGCAACATTCCTCTCATACTCACTAGGATGGCCACTGTAAGACAGATGGGCAAAATAGCAAGTGTTGGCAAGGACATGGAGAAGCCAGAGTCCTTGTGCCTTGGAGGGAATAGAAAAGGGTGCAACCACTATGGAAAACGGTATGATGGATACTCAAAATAGTAAACAGAATATCAGGTGGTCCAAGAATGCTGTTTCTCAGCATAAATTTAAAAGAATAGAAAAGCTGTGTCTTGAAGATATACTTGTACATCCATGTTTATGGCAGAATTATCCACAATGACCTCAGGACATTATTCTAAACGAAACAAGCCAGAACCCCCCTGCCAACAAACAACAACAGCAAAAAGAAATACTGAATGAGTCCACTTATGGGAGGCATCTGAAATAGTGATGTTCTTAGAAACAGAAAGCAGAATGGTGGTTGCCAGGGTATAAAGGAAGGGGGATATTGGGAGTTTAATGGGTTTAGAGTTTCAGTTTTGTAAAGTGGAGCATTTCTGAAGATGGTTACACAACAATGTAAAAATAGTTAACACTGCTGACTCATACACTTAAAAATGATTAAGTTGGTCAATTTTAAGCTATGTGTATCTTGCCACAGTTTTTTAAAAAATGCAGTGCTGCTGACCCTTGAATTATGTAGGGGTTAGAGGTGCTGACCTCCTATTCAGTTAAAATATCTGAATATAACTTTGAAAATTATTTAAGACTTTTATTTACCAGGAGTTTAAAGTTTGTTTATTAAAAAATCAAGTTGTAAGCTTTTTATTACACATTAAAAATAAAATTCTTTAAAAGACTCATCATGTATGAAACAAAATTTTAAAGAAAGAAAAATCTATGCTTTTAAAAAGAACACATTTCTCATTACTAAAAAGACATGTCTTTAGGTAAAAATAGTAAAAACCCTATGCTGTATAGACTATGTAGCTTGAGTTATTTGACCAACAGGTAAAGACATTCCCTGTCTTCTTCACTGTGGCCCTCTCCCCGCCGCCTTTGGTGAGCAGGGCCTGGAGCAACCTGTCTATAGCCCTTGCTCCTGTTCTGTCTTTCTGGTCCACCTTGTCCCCTGTTAACGCCCTGCATGGCTTCTCCCTGCACAGAAGGTGTGGAATACTGTGGTCCATGCCCCTGGGGTCTCCACGTGTAGTAAGGTGGGGACCTGGGCCCGTTGTAGGTCAGTGTTGTTGGGCATGGACTTTGGGAGCGCTCAGGTCCCTCCTTCTCTCGCGCTCTCTATTCCGGAGTTCTGCTGTTGATTGTGTGGATAGCACATACAATGGTCATGCCTGTCGCATAGTTAATGCCTTGAATTGCAGCTCCAGCAGCGCCTTGGGCTGCCTCGCACGCTTTTCCCCAAATGGCATCCAACTCCGCCGTCTCTCCCCCGACCCTGCCCAGGGACATCTCGGTTACTCTTCTTTGTGGCGGTCTGGCATATACATTTATCTTTCTTTGTGTTATTCCCGCTAATGAAACCATGTCCTTTTCTTCCATTGAACTCTTTGACCCAAACCTTGGTTGCGGTAGGTGTGTCCCAACCGGTAGGTGCCGCCGATGTGCGGCCGCCCGCGCCAGGCTCCTGCGCCGCTGTCCGTGGTGCCGCGCTTGGTGGCCTCTGCACCTGCAGCCTTCCAGGCTTGGGCCTCCCGGCTCTGGTAGTGGTTATGGTTCCCCGGGCAGGGGTGATGGTGACAAGCCAGAGGTGGTAGAGGGGCTGCCCAGGGCTCCCTGGGGCTTCTCTGCCCTCCTGCTGCCAATCAAACTCCCAAGAATAACTTTTGACTGCGCCAAATCCAACTACTAGGAGCCTCCCTTTAATCAGAAGCCTTAGCGATACCATAAACAGACTTAAACAATAAAATATAAACAGACTTAAACTTGAACACACGTTTTACATATTATATATATATTATGTGTGATGAAAATTACTCGTGAATTATGAGATTTCTCTTTTTTACTGCCATATGCATTTCATGAGTGTTTTTCGTGGATATTGGCAACACTTGAGCTAGCTGCAACTGGAAGTGGTTATGAAATTATGACAGTAGTACAGTGTATACAGTTAGTTTTATGCAATTATGATTTAATTCTTTACATTTCTGTACTACACCTGGTGCCAACTAGATTTTGTATTTTTGTGGCTAAGTTTGGATACCTTTTAACTTTTCATAATGGATTTTTAAAACTTATGGTAGTGATAAAATAGACTATTACATATGTATATATTTTATGCATTCATGACATATCCTTTTTCTTATTTTTTTTTTCTATATTTCTAGGCTACAATGTTTATGTGAGAGTTTTTTCAAACTGTTGCATGTCTCCCCTTTCCCAGTCCACCTATTGACTACTGAAAGTTAAAAGCTGTTTTGATTTGGGAGTAAATTGTACTTTATTGTATGACAATTGTGGGAGTATATTTGACATCTTGGAATAGTTGCCATGCATACCTTTCGTTCATTCATTCATTCATTCATTCAACACACTTGTATTGAATGCTTGCTGTGTGCTAGGCATTGAGCAGGGTACTTGTCTGCAACAATTAATAAGGTTTCTAAGACAGTATGTCTATCCATTTCATGCTTTCTCATTATCCACTCCCACACCCGCAAGGGATTGAATTCCTATAGTTAAATATTCACAGTGGCTTCCTACTGACTTGAATCATGCATAAGACATTAGTAAATAAACCGTAAAAAGATCTGTGGTTGATGGGGGGCATCCAGCAGCATAGTGGTGAAATGGAAAGAGATGGGTAACAAAATATGAACTAGGATTGAAAACTGAGGGCCAGTGCTCTCTCAGGATAATTAAAAAATAAAGAATTCCTATTTGAGGCTGCCAACCTCAGAGCTAAGTTATTCCAAATGGAAAAAAAAATTGGCAAAGTCAGATGTACTTAACCCAGGGRACCAATGTTTTGTGAATTTTATGGCAAATGTAGTTGGAGACACACAAAAAATTGTGTACAATATTAGTAAGTGAGAAGGGCAGGTAAGGGTTATAAAATCTGAGTGACAAGAAAAAAGGGCTGTAAAGAGGGGAATCGGTTGAAYTCAGCATGGCTTGGTTGTTTGAGTGGCAAATAGAAGAAGGATTCTGGAGCTTCCTTAACCACGAGATCCTGGGACCTCTATCTTCAATTTACTGTATCTCTTCTTAGGTTAGTTTTGAAAATCTTCTAGGAACCTTTACCCCATCTACCTTTACAATATCTGCCAACCTCTCTTTCCCCATCACCTTGTACACACTCTTCATTCATTATGGGTATCATTGAGTGCCAGCTACATTCCAGGCACTGTGCTGCCCTCTGGCCAACCGCCCTACACCCCCAATCCCTTACACTCAACCTGTATTTGTTGTCACAGGTCTAGAAAATCCCAGGCCGCCCTAACTACTGCTTCTATACCTGGCCAGATGAGAAATTCGAACTTCTCATCTACTTCTTCCCATACCTCCTTTCTTCCAGTCTTCTTCAAGGTATCTTCCCACAGGTGGCTCCTTGGACAGCTTCTTTAGTTTCCTTCTTGCCTTTGTTCTTTTATTCTCTTTGTGCCTTCATCCATTCTGTCCCTGCTGGTCAATTCCCTTCAGTTTGCATGAGGGCTTTGTAACCTCTTCCACTATAAAAATCCTTTGGGGGAGCATTATATTCTTTAAATACTATAAAAAGTCTTTCTTTAGCCATTCCCATCAGACTGTCCAAGGTATGGCCCTCATTCATCTTCTCACATCCTCCCTTTGTGTCCACACTGGTTTGGGCTGGAACCTCTACCCTTCCTCCCAGAACTCCTTGCTGAATGTTCTCTTAGTCAAATTCAAACTCACTTTATCAGTGCTTGTTTCCTTGGACTTCTCTGTTCCATTTGGCATTATTGAGTGACCTTGAATCATTCTTAAAGCTTTTTACTTCCCCATTTTCTTGGTTCTTCTAGCACCATGCTTTGTTTCTGTTTATTTTTCAATTTCATTTCTGGGCTATGCTTCTTCCATGAAATCATTAAAGGTGGAGGTAACCATCGGTCTTCCTCCACTCTTCTCATTCTACATGTTCTTAAAGAGGACTTTGAATAGTGGAGAACAGCACCCTTAAGTTATAGTCAAGTTTTAAAAATCTGTACCCAGGCTTACCTGGTAACAGTAACATAAACATTTATATTGTTGATTTTTTGACATGTGTTCTACATTGTTCACCAATTCATTGGAATTTCAAATGCTCCAGCTGTCCTATGCTTTGTTTCTATTTCCTAAAGACCCTTTCTGTGGTCTAGAATCAGAATGAGCCTTCGCCTTTAACAGTTCTGATTTAATTATAAGTTTTGAGAAAATGAAGATGCTTATTAGAAACCAGCTAATTTCATCTTGTCATTTTTTTAGGGGTAGCATTTTTTTGGGGGATAGACAGTCTGTTTCTTAAGCAAGTTTGCAATAAACAATTTTTCCCTCAAGGTTAATACAGTAGGCAAACACCTTTTGTGGCAGCAAACAGCAAGAAGTAACAAAAGATTAGCTTACATTATGATTCATTATTTCAAAATGTCAGGATAAAGTGAATCTGCTCATCTCCTAAGCCTCTTATTCTTTAGAGGAGAATACATATTTTGTTTTTTCTGATGCTAATGGACTCACCTTTTTCTTCCCTTTTTCTCCCTCAGGCCAAATTCAGATAATCGTCGCCAGAGTGGCAGAGAGAGATTGACCAGTAACAGTGACAAGGGAAGCCTGGCCTTGGAATCTGCCAAGGAGACTCGCTACTGTGCAGTATGCAATGACTATGCCTCTGGCTACCACTATGGAGTCTGGTCCTGTGAGGGTTGTAAGGCTTTCTTCAAGAGGAGTATTCAAGGTAATAGTGTGTTGAAATCAACTTATTCTATGTTTGGTCCAAAGATCAGAAATGACCAAGGAAGGAAGACACAATCAGCTACTTAACACCAGTGGGTCCCACTAGCATCCTTGGTAGAAACACAGAGAAGAAATGGAATCTCACAGGAGCTGACAGATGCCAGGGAAGCTGTTGTTGAGTAATTCTGTTTCCTCCATTTGGCAAGGTCCCTACAGTCTCCACAAATTCTATAGAGGGGGACTGTAGTAGCTGGGTCTCTGAAATAAAAGGAAATGTCTCTGCCCTGATTGGGAATTGGCAGATGGACATTCCTGTTCTGCAAGCAACTAAGCTTATGCACTATATTGTTTGTGCATAGTTATCTTACCTTGACCTTATCCAGGTTAGTGTTCTGTTCTGATCTTTAGTCCAGACCATTTTTATCCAGCTTGTTCCCTTCCTCTCTTCGATCTCTTTCCTGTCTCAATGGATGACATGACCTTTTGCTAATATGAGCAGACTAAATATCTAGTGACTTGAAATAGGGGATATAGCATCAGTACCAAGTAGTTACGAAGTATCCAACTGTAACATTTCATTCTGCTGCCTGCTCAATCTTTTTGTTGTATATGGTTTATCAATTGYAGCTTCTCTGATATAGTGCCAGTTACAGTTTATGTCTACTCCAGGGTTGTCCATGTTGTGGTATTTCAAAGGATAACCTAGGAAGACGTCTATCATTTTTACTACTAAAATCTCCATTCTACAGATCCTTTATCAAAAATTCTTACTGAATTTACCTTTTGTTTTAATAAGGGGATATTTTTCTCTGTTCTTATCCCTTTACTTTTTCAGATTCTGTGAAGCTTGGTCTATAGATACTAAGGATATTTCTGAGAGAGTTTTCACAATTCCCTCTCCAGAAATCTAGACTTAAGTAACTTGTTAAAAACTAGAGTCTGCTAAATTAATAGACACTGACAGAAGAAGTGATTCTCAGGAACTTTCTGCTATGGCTCTTCACAGCTCTTATATGGCATGAAAACTGAGGGATGGTACATACTATTTATTTTTCCTTCCATTGCCAGTGGAATTTCTTTTAAAGCTGTTCATATCTTAATAGAGTAGACTGTGAGGTCAATGTGATCCATTTAAAAAGCATTTTTCTTGACACTTACTGCTTTCAACATCTTTAAAACTCTGCTGTAAGACTTGTACTTTTTTGTCAGTGTTTTTATAACAATTAGTGATATTATCTGGCAATAAATAAGTGTGTGTGTATGTATACACACTGTTAATTTTACTAGCTGATACTATCATAATTCAGAAAAATTAAATTTAAAATTTATATCTTGGTTAAGGTTAGTATAAATACTTAAAAGTCTGACAAACATCTTCATTTGTGGTTGTACTGTTGATTTGATTTTATATAATCTAAAATACTATTTTTACTAAGCATTTAATCCAATAATGAAAATGTATCTGATAAAGGTAAGGTTAGTGAATAGGTTCAGCTATATACTTAGGTAAGTCAAATATCAGGGACTTATTTCCATCATCAGTAAAAATGATTTAGAGTAGTGCAGGGGTCCACAAAGTTTTCTTTTTTTAAAAGGGCCCAATAGTGACTATTTTAGCTTCTGCAAGCCATTCAATCCCTGTAACAGGTACTCTCCAATGGCACTGTAGCTTGCAAAGAATCACAGGCAATATGTAAATAAATGAGAGTGGCTATATGTCAATAAAGCTTTGTTAAAGTAGACAACTGACCAGAATTAGCTGGTAGAGCATCATTTACTGATCCATGATTTAATATTTATTTGATTTTATTTAGTCTACATATCACAGTTTATGGAAAAAATGGGTGGTTTTTAAATCTAAAGTTCTGATTATTCATGCTTTGTTGAGAACTTATTCTGCACTTTCCTGAGGGAAATAGAAAATGTGAAAGATATACTTCATAATCCCACAGAATTTAGAGTTGTTTGGGAAGTTTATTCGGGGGAAACAAAAGTACTGGTTCTCATGACATAATTGTATAGTAAGTTAGTATAGATAAAGTGTTACTTTATGAAAAAGATAAGGAAAGTAATAGATAAATGTAAGAGAAGAAAATAGTGTCAGTTATAAATGGAAACTTATTGAAATTGAAAGTAGAGATGGCTGTCTTCCAAGAAACAATAGCAGTATTTTTACAAATTATTTTCATCATATTTTTTCAACATTAGTAATAAACTACACAAGTTCCCATCATATTTAGTAGTATCTCCCGGCATTAAGACATCTGACCAGAAAATAAGAAAAAAGAAGGATATACTTAAAAAATATCAATGAAAAATCTGCTTATTGGTATGGTTTTTACCTCAAGTTCAATTTTTAAAAATAATTTCTGCTTACTCTTTGATACTTTACACACACACGCAAAGCTCGTGTGCACACACAGACACACACACACTAATCTCCATCTTATATTCTCAGACTAAATAGTAGAATTTCATTGAAATTGTACCATATAAAAATGAGAGTTTTATCTAGGATCAGAAAGTTCTTGTATATCATAGTGTGGTCATATATATAAAATTTCTTCCATGGGGTGAAGATTGAGTACGAAGTTCTGGAAGAAACCTAGAAACAAGGCAAAATTATTACTTCTAGAGATACAGAGGGACCTTAAAACTATTAAGTTCATTAATTTATTAATTTATTCATTGAATATTTCTTATAGTAAAAGTGCTATGCAAAGCCCAGGGGGATGCAATAATAGAAAAGACCTGGTCCCTACTCTCATTGAGCTTATAAGGTAGAAGTAGAAATGAATAAAGAAACCAGCAATTAAATTACAGTGTGACAAGTGTCAAGCTCCAGGTGAATGCAGCGTTTTACAGAAGTCTAAACTTGACTCAGTCCCAGGGAGTAAGGCTCTCAGAGAAAGTTTCCTGATTAAAATTAAGTCTGAAGGATGAGATAAGTGAGCAAGGTGGAGGACAGAATGTTTAGTTATAGAATGAGAATATGAGTGAAGGTCAGGAGGGAAGACAGAGTGCAGAGAGTTCTGTGAATAAAACTTCACAAGATTCATTTGCTATTAGATTGAACAGAGACATTCCAGGCTGTTGATTCCCTTTCCATTTTAATGCTATTTTCATATGTTGTGTTGGTTTGTGCTGCTACAAGGGGATATGCCAGAGCAAGTTTAAATGTTTCCAATCCTGTTTTTCTCATCAGAGTCTTGATAACTTGGAACTAAAGGTTTTACTGAACTTTTGTGGCTCTTTATGAATCACACTGCCCCTCAAACACATTGAAGGACAGTGGAGGGGCTGGCACGTAGGTGGAAAGTTCTGAAGAGGCTGCGGCTCTCCCTGTTTTTCATGTTACTTAAGAAGAGAGCTAGGAGTGAGTATACATCAGATTATTCTCATGTTCTAAGTGTTTTGGTTGAAGAGGTAAAGTGTTTGACTTGAAAGCACACAGATTTTTATCCACTACTTAGTCTATAAACTTGATTACTTAAGAAATTGAGTAATGGCCTCCAGTTGAATGCATTTTTTTAAAAAATAATAAAAAGCAAAGTTAAGAATGCTATTAAAGTCAGAAGGATGAAATTGAATATTATATGAACTTAGTAATCATTGTGGGCATTGGATTATGCCTTAAGGTATGTTTTAGATAGAGACTATGGAATAAGTTACATAAGCAGATCCAGTTATAGGTTTGGTAGCTGATATTATCTTTGAGTGCTTCTCCAAGGAAATATGGTTCTACTGAGTTCACTTCTCTTACATTATTATTTCAGAAACCCTGAGCCGTAGCAGGGCCCAAGGCTATCTATACACCATTTACTATGCTACCACTTCATATTCTATCCATGTATTCAAGTCACTCAACATTAGACCAATATACATGGCCAAGGCAGGTGTTAACCCACAGGTGAGCTGAGATGGGACAACATGGTATCAGAGTGGAATCCGGTTATGTTTCAATTCAGTGGGGGGCTTACATCCAACAAGGATAACTGAGTGCACAGTCCACCTGGACCTTAGAAAGCATTGGGGTAAGCTAATCCAGGACCCTGGATAGCTCCTGCAAAAGCTGCTGAAGGTGTGCAGAGGCTTACTTTCTAAAGAAAGGTCCACTTAGCTGGTTCCATCCAGTCTGTAGAGCTCTGTTGAGAGAGAACACAGTCATCCTAGGATTGACAACTCACGCTTGTTCACTCAAGATTAATTAGTTTTCATATTAGTGTCCAGCCTTCTGCTTGGTAGGTGAACCCCTATCTGGAAAGGGTTAGTGAACAGGTAGGCGTGGGGGCTCCTCTTGCATCATGTCACTGTTTTATACTGGTGATCTCCTCAGAGATGTGATTTGGATCCTGATAATATATGCACAGAAAAATATGAAGTCTTTTTTCTCCACATTTCTATACTTTCCCCCCTTGCAGTACAGTCTCCATGCAACAGCAGAAGAGATCTTTTAGATACTTAGCCAAACCATATGATCTTGAGCTTAAAACTCTCAATGAACTTAGAGTAAAATTTCCTTTGTATGGCTTACAACGGTCTACCTATTTCTAATACTGTTTACTTCTCCCCAGTTAATGGTGGTCCAGCCCCACTGGACTTCCTTCTTTTCTCCCAGCATGACAACACGTTCCTTCTTCAGAACCTAACACTTGTGGTTCTCTCTGTTCTATTGCTTGGAATGCCCAGATTTTCCCTGGCCAGCTATTTGTCATTCAGAACTCAGCCTATAACCACTTCCTCAGGTAGGTCTTCCTCAATGATCCTACCTAAAAGGATCCCTACAGACCATTGCCCTGAGTGTTTTTTTCTAAGTGCGCCCTTACCCTATCTTCTTTTCTTTTCTTTTTTTTCAATTCATACAGAACAATTATGGAACTTACTTGTAGGGTACCCAATGTTTTGATACATGTATACATTGCATAATGTTCAAATCAGAGTAAATGTTACTTCCTCAAGCATGTATCATTTACTAGTGATGAAAACATTCAAAATCCCCTT